CTCTCCCTCTCGCTCTCCCCCTGTCCTCCCCCCGCCCCCGACTTTCTTTCTGGATTGTTAATGGATCAAAATAGAAAACAGAAGTACATTTTAATTAAGAGACATTAGCTTAATGTTCCCTCAAGAATGAGGAAGTCGAAACATAATGTATTTCTTTGTAGCTCTCATCTCCTTCTTAAGCTGTTACTTATATGACCCTTGATTAATTTTGACAAGTAAAAAGTTTCTTCACCCTTGTAAATAAACGTTAAGCATAGCAACTACTTTACATTCTACCGTATCATTGGACTAAATGAGCTGTGGACAAATCTGTCTGCTGCTGTGTATTTTTCTTGGTTAGAGAGAGAAAGCTCAAGTGAAGTTCCATCCCCACCATATAAAGCTTCCGAAATGGAAGGGTAGCTGCGGGATGGGAGGAGATGCTGGTTCAAGTTTCAGTTAGACAGGAAGAATAAGTTTTGGAGAGCTATCATACAGCATGGTGACTATAATTTATAATAATGTACCGTATACTTGAAAATTGCTGAGAGCTTAAATGTTCTTACTACAAAAAGATAAGTATGTGAGGTAATGAGGTGTCAATTAGCTTGATTTAGTCATTCCACAGTGTATACATATATCAAAACATATTGTCTACCACAGATATATACAATTTGTCGTTAGCCAATTAAAAAAAAAAGAAAAACTCTGGGCATATTAACCAATAGTTAGTTAAAGCTCATAAGAAGTTTTTTCCTTCCTTTTTCTTTTTTTTCTTACTGATTGTCTTAAAAATATGTTGTTACTGGAGGTTCATCGCAGTGGTTTTAAATAATAAAAAATCAAAAACCACCTAAATGGCCATTACTAGAAGACTAATTAAGTCAATTATAATGCATACATATAGTACACTCTTTTACAGCTGTTAATAATGATGTAAAATCATATTTGTTGAAATGAGGTATCAGCGATACATTATTAAATGGGAAAAAAAGCAAAAAGGGAAATAACTTGAAAAGTATAATTTGGATTCTTCAATTGATATACATAAACACTTGTAAATACCTGGATCTACCTGTAGGGTATTATGTAATGAGATCTTAGCAGATTTTTACTTTCTGCTTTGTGTTCATATTTAATTTGAATGTCTTTTTCCAAGAAAATGAATTTCAAAAGTAGAAATAAAACTCACAAGATTAAAATCCAGATGTTCTGGGAAATTCTGAAACAGAAATACAGACTTAAAATGGGGCTTGCGTATAGCATTTGGAGCTCCATATCAATAAAGGAGAAAGGCCTCATGCAGGCTGAGATAGTCTTTCTGTCTCTGTCTCTAAGAAGCTCTTGCCCTGGGGTAATACTAATGCCTAGGTGTAGTTATTCCAGTGAGGAAGTATTAGGCGGTATTCTCCTCCTTTCCTTTCTCCCAGTAAACTTTCCTGCTTTTCTGTGTGGCTGCTTTAATATCAGGCAGTATTTTTGTCTTACTGAGTTTTAATGATGTCCTCAATGCCATATGTAAGTTGTATGCTGTTTGTACCTTTTTTAATGCCCTTTTATACTACACCTGAATATAACAGAGTATCTTCCCACCTAAAGTATTCACTTGGCATTTTCATTTCTCTTATCCTTTCTTAGAACATCTAATGAAATTGTCCATGGAAGAACTTGTAGAATTTTTTCAGGAGACCCTGGCAAAGGATTTTTTCTTTGAAGATGATTTTGTGATAGAGCAACTTCAGATTTCTATGGCAGAACTAAAGCGGGCAAAGTTAGACCTTCCAGAACCTGGTAAGAATTACCCCAATACTTCATATCTACATTGTAATTAAGATTGGAAGACATGGCACAATTAACGTGGGCTGTTTCTTGCCCACAGCGTAAGCATTATACTTGTGATGACATAACCTGGATGAACGCCTTACCAGCTCAGCTGCTTTGGCTTTTTTCTTATTTTAGGGAAAGGCAAGTAAACATATTAATTATAGCTGCCTCTCCTAATTAGGTGACTGTACTATTCCTGCTTACATTTAGGAATTTGGTTGGCAAATACTCTTGTTCAACAGAAGTAGCCATGGTGCTTTAAACTAGCATAACAATAAGCGTTTTTTGCTTTCTTCATCTCATTTTGTGAAACCATATGTAATAGTAAGTAGAGCAAGTAAAAGCCCTATCTTATAGATGAGGAAATGGATACTTAAGTGCTTAAGTGGCTTAAATATGAAGCCACAGAACCACCAAATAGCATTACTGAGACTGGAGGCCAGTTACTGACTACTAGCCCAGGGCTCTTGGCAGTATGTTGCAGTATAGATAATGTATTTTATTCACTTACTGTAAGACATTTTTCAGCACCTACTAATAGGTTTTCTGCTAGGTACTACTTTGCTGGGGATTTAAGAACTGGAGAGAAAGATGAGAGCAAGCTCTCAGGGTGTGCACTGGAGAGCTAGAATGTATGAGAATGATAACAGAGGGTAAATGGGGCATTACTAGAGCTAGCTGCAGGGTAAATGGGAGAGGGACAGAGGAAGGGAGGAAGGGGAGTGCAGGAAGGGAGGGAAGAAAATGAAAATGTCAAACAATCACAGGAGGAATAACTTTCAAAGTTTTGACCAGATAGTACTTGACCATGTATGTCTTGAGAAAAAGTTACTTTTGCTTTTCTTCTTTCTTACCTTTGTTGCAGTGGATGGGTATAGTAAGAGGCTAGGGAGGTGGAAGGTCATGGGCGAGAGATGAAAAGTAAAGAAAGTCAGTTACGTATGCCCTCAGGTAGAGGTGAATTTGGTGTTTCCCAATCAGTGTGTCAGGTTGGCTATGTCTGTACAGAAGGACAAGCAGTACTTTCATGGATAAAACCATGAAAGTACTTTTGATAAAAACCAAGATGCTTGCTTTTATTTACTTAATTGAGAAGGGTCTAATCAGCGCTGCTCCGAGGTTTGCTCAAGGTCATCCAGGTTCCTAGGAAGCATCCCTCACAGCAGTAATGGGGTGTGGGCCTAGGCCTTGTGGAGCCGTTGCCTTTGTTAAGTGAGGTCAGCCCTCTCCTATTCAGCGTAATGACGTCCGTTTTCTACTATCATTTATTTTTATTTATTTATTTTATTCTATTATTTATTTTTAAATATCTTGCCTCCTAAAAAGAGTTCAAGGCAAATTTTAGTAAAAGTCAAATGCAGAAGAAAAAATATAGAACTATTTAAACATGAGATAATTCAAAACCTGTGTCATGGATTGCGATGGTGGTGACTTAGCATCTAATTAGCAGCTAATATTTATTGGATGTTTACTGTGTGCCACATACCACTGGTGCTGTCTCATTTAATCTCTAAAAATAACTCATAAAAGTGCTCATCTACATTGTGCAGATAGGGAAACCTAGTAGTAGTAGTCTGTAAGATCGTTTTACCAGGAAATGATAGAATGGGGACAGAGAATGGGGCAGGGGAGAAAAGAGGAGGAATAAATAATAGCAGAATCATGCTCTAATCCTACTGGCAGTGAAGGTAGAATGGATAAGGCATCTCTACATTTTGTAGCACGACCATCTGCCTTTCATCGTCTGCCTGTCATTCTCTTTAAATTGTTGTGAACTGTATATGGAACACTAAGATAAATAAATGAACATCATACCAAGAAATTTCCGTGGCACATCTATCCTTTTAAAAACCTACATAAGGCCGGGCACAGTGGCTCACGCCTATAATCCCAACACTTTGGAAGGCCGAGGAGGGCGGATCACGAGGTCAGGAGATCGAGACCATCCTGGCTATCATGGTGAAACCCCGTCTTTACTAAAAATATAACAAATTAGCTGGGCGTGGTGGCGGGCGCCTGTAGTCCCAGCTACTTGGGAAGCTGAGGCAGGAGAATGGCGTGAACCCGGGAGGCGGAGCTTGTAGTAAGCGAGATCACGCCACTGCACTCTAGCCTGGGCGACAGAGCCAGACTCTGACTCAAAGTAAATAAATAAATAAATAAAAACTTTACATGAACATGCCACTTCCTTTTGACTCCTTATATAACTGTGGCAGTGTGAACTCCCCTGAGTCATGTGCGATGACGCCTGTTTTCCTAGGCCCACATGAAAACATGGCGCTGTTACGTTTTAAAATGTTTGCTGATTGGATAGAGTCTTCCATTGTTGTTCGATTGGTAGTTCTTTGAGTATCTTTCTTAGATATCTTTGGGGCATCCTTCTTTCTTTTGCTGTGAACTTCCCGGTTCATCTGTTGCCCATTTTTCTATTGGTCTGTTCATACAGGCTCTTGTTAAGGAGACTGGCCAGTTTATTATGTGTTGCAGCCATCTTCCATACAGCTTTCCCTATGGCTTCTTGCTTTTGTGTTTTTTGTAAAGAATTTTCCACATGCTGGATGAAGTGTTTTTTCTTAAGTACCCATATTTCTCTTCTAACATTTATGTTTTTTTAATGCTTATGGGTACAACTTCATTGAGATATAATTGAGTATGATTAAATCTTTAGCTCATCTAGAATTTACTTTTTGTTATGGAATAAGAACTCAGCTCTGCTTATTTTCCAAACCATTAGTCATGTGGATTAGTGGCATTTATTAAATGACATTTTGGCACTCTATTCTGTTCCACTGCTCTCTGCTTTTCCAATTACGCTTTTTAAATATGAGACAGGGTCTCACTCTGTTGCCCAGGCTGGAGGGTAATGGCACAGTCATGGCTCACTGCAGCCGTGACTTCACCGGCTCAAGTGATCCTCCCACCTGAGTCTCCCCAGGTAGCTGGGACTACAGGCGCATGCCACCACTCCTGGGTAATTTTTGTAGTTTTTGTAGAGACAGGGTTTTGCCGTGTTGCCCAGGCTGGTCTCAGACTCCTGGACTTAAGCAATATGCCCACTTCAACCTCCCAAAGTGCTAGGATTACAGGAGTATCCGGCCTCCAGTTACCCTTTGAATATCTGTTAAGGGAAATGTCCCCTCATTACTTTGTATTATTTTGTCAAGTTATAAAAGAGAATCCACTACTATTTTAGTGTTATTCAGATATATTATTTTATTAGTATTGAGATTGCACTGAAATTAAGGATTTTTGAGAGAAAACTGGTATTTTAAAAATTGAGTTTTTCTAAGTAAAAGCTTTTATTTTACAGTCGAGGTTTGTTTTCTTCATGTGACTGTGAGACATTTCTGGTCTCACATTCCGCCCCCCACTCATGTACCATATAAAATGTGGCTGTCAGCAGGTGGTCACTGGACAACCCCAGGTGTGCTGCAGACCTGCCATTTCCCCACAGCATCAGGTGTGTGGACGTTACCGCTGCCACTGGCGTTGGAGCCTAAGCAGGGGCTCTGCAGAAGAGACCCAAACAGAGTGAAGGCAGGGGTGCCAAGTCCTACGGGGGAGAGTTGTATCTTTTATTGCTATTGCAAGTTGAAGCTTTTCTTCCATTTATTTCTAACTGGTTTGGAAAACTCTCGGTATCCTTTTAATATTATTTTTGTAGCCAATATATTTGATCAGTTATCTTAGGTTTTCTAAGATTTAAGATACACAATCTTATCTTCAACAAATAATCGTTCTTCCTCTTCCTTTTCAGTATTCATGCATCCTCTTTTTTAGAAAATAGCTAGAAAGTATTCAGCTATTATTGTTTTTAAGTTTTCTTGAAAAATCAAAGTGCATGTTCAGTTTTTTTGAATGCCTTTTGAACACAAATGAGTTAATCATTTTTTTCCTTTAAAACCTTTTTACATGAATAATTTTGTTAATATACTTCCTAGTGGTGAACCATTCATTGCAGTTCTTGGATAAACTTCACTTGGTTGTTACAAGTTATTCCTTTATAGTACTGCTGATTTATACTGTCTGATATTTTACTTAACACTTAAAGTGGTTATTCCTGAGATTTCATTGCAGTTAACCAAAATGTCTGTGTGTTGTCAGGTTATACTGTCCTCATAATTTGGAAGCTTTCCTTCTTTCTCTGTGTTCTAGAACTTTAACATAGTATTAAAATTATTCCTTAACAACTCGAAAATGTATTTGTGAAACTATTTCCGTCTAATATAATTGTTTTGGGGGTTAATGTTTTGATTTGTTTTATCTTCTAAGGTCAATGTGGGTCATTTGGTGATTTATGTTTTCCTAGAAAGCTGTTCATTTCTGGTTTCTTAATATATTTATGTAAGGTTTTGCAAAGTGTCTTATGGTTCTTTTATCATATATCTGTAACAGTCCTACATTTTCATTTCTCACTTTCTTTGTACCTTCTCCTGCTCTTTGATAAAATTATCCAGAATTTAGTCTTTATTAATTGGCTTGTATCAAGAATCAGCTCTCGAATTAGTTAATTCTGATTTTCTTAGTTTATTTCTTCTTTTTTCCATAAAGTCGACTGCTTGGCTGGGTGCAGTGGCTCACACCTGTAATACCAGCACTTTGGGAGTCCGAGGTGGGCAGATCACTTGAGGTTAGGAGCTCGAGACCAGCCTGGCCAACATGATGAAACCCTGTCTCTACTAAAAATACAAAAATTAGTGGGGCGTGGTGGCAGGCGCCTGTAATCCCAGCTACTCAGGAGGCTGAGGCAGAAGGATTGCTTGAACCCAGGAGGTGGAGGTTGCAGTGAGTCAAGATTGCACCACTGTACTCCAGCCTGGGTGACAGAGCAAGATTCCATCTTGAAAAAATAATAATAATAATAAAAGTCAAATGCTTATTTATTTCATAGTATGGGGGTGGTTTGTGAAAGTGTTGAAAGGCATGACTTTTGCTGTATTCATGTCTATGTTTTTTTGACATGTAGT